AGCACACGTACAAGGACAACACAAATTTTATTTGGCGGTCAGATTCAATCATGGCAACTAGAAACTTATCTGGCGGCCGCAAGATACTGTAGATTCCTTAATATACGCGAGGAATTAATTATCGCGTAATTTCGCGAGAAGCATCTCTCACGAAATAAAATTACTCGTTTTTATTTTTATTGTGCTGAAATCCATGTAAAATCAGTTGATCTACCATCCATTCGCGAATTATTGTTCTCGCGATTTGACGTTAAAGGGCCATTTCGCGATATTAAGTACCCGCGCAAAATAAAGAATGTACAGTTTTTGTGGCTGTCCTCAGAAACTTATTTGAAATATTTTTCTCACATGTACCTACCGACTTCCGTATTTTAATTACACCTGAAAACAATAAAAACAATATTTCTCTAGTGAATAATTTTATTCATTACTTCATCTAGTTTAATGAATTTTGCTTTCCTCAGCACACTTCAATAAATACAAAAACATATAAGGATTGTTTGTCTTGGAGTTTCCGCTGGCGTAGATCAGGGTTTGGTTTCACATGCACGTGGTCATTCTAGTGAATATATTAAGAATTCATTTTTTTCTATAATGAACTAAAAGTAGATTGAGAACTTCTTAACGTTACAATAAGTTTTGAAATTTTATATCACCTTCTCTAGACCTCCACTCAAGGGAACATATCATCCAGGCTGCTGCCCCTATCCCATTTTTCTTTTCTGAAGGTAAAGTCTTACTGTTACTTAATTAGAAAAAATCCCACTTTTTCTGAAGGTAAAATTTAACTGTTATTTCAATATGAACTAGAGTGTTCCAAGGAACGCATGTGTCGCCTGCTTTGTAGCTTCATTAAAGATGTAAATAAATTTAAGTGTAGTTAGCTATTTATTTACTACTATCATGAATGCAAAAAAAAAAAAAAAAAAAAAAAAAAAAAGCATCCGCACATAGTATAAGACTGCAATAGAGTCTGACAATCAAAGAAAATATGATTCCCAACCCTCATATGAATAATTAAGTTGAAATTATTATAAATAATAATTATCATTTTACACGTGTTAATACATTTGGCAAGATTGAAAACGTGTCTGACATCTTTAATTTCATGTTTTACATCATAAATCTAACGCCCAATCATTTTGCCGGTATATATCGGTACTGGAAAAACGTATCGCAATACGATACTTTTTTTGTTAACAAATCGCAATATATACATAGAGAGAGAGAGAGAGAGAGAGAGAGAGAGAGAGAGAGAGAGCACGCTAGCACACTAGCTTCATTAAAGATGTAAATAAATTTAAGTGTAGTTAAGTACACCCGATAGACCGGACGCAATTCATAGCGCTCCGGATTTCTTTGTTCACAACTGTTTATAAACTCCAAATTAAACATGTAACATTGTACATATTTAGTGTTTGGTAGTTTAGTAGTAGTGCTAGTTGTTTTTGCTTCTCTATTTCCTTTGTTTTTATGACTTCCTAACTTTTTTCTTTGTCCTGAGGAAGGGACAGGTCGTCCCGAAAATTTGACAATTATTATTGTTCGTGTCATTTTTAGTGCTTTATATAAATTTCCATCCGTGGCTTGAGCTATGGCTCTCATATTTCACATATGTATTCCTCAAGACAAGGCCTTTCTTTGGGTTTCTACGTATTTGACCTCTCGACCTTAACCTTGGAGTTTGACTCACTTTTGTAAAAATTTACCAATCTTTTGAACAGTTTGTGCTATGGCTTTCCTACTTCACATGTGTATATATTGTGACAAGGCCTTCCTCTAGATACATTAAATTTGAACCTTTGACCTTGACCTTGAAGTGTGATTAAATTTAAAAAAAAAACCTTGGCCATAACTTTTGAATGGTCGGTGATTGGGATTTCACAGCTATATTTATTGAGGAAAGTCCTTTCTTTGGGTAACAACATTTTTGATCTCTTGAAGTTGACCTTGGAGTTTTACTTCCATTTGAGAAACTTTAACATTCGACAAAACTGCCATACGATATCATCAGGTTTTTTACAAGCACATCTTGTTTATTAGTATTTTTGGGGGGTGGGGGTGGGGGAACTATAATTGCTAAATTGCTGTCTAACATGTGAATAAGTTTGATTACAGAAACTTTATGGAGGGAAAGAAAGTATCGATTAACATTTGCAAATATGTCTCGGTTAAGAAAATAAAAGTAACATTCTGTTGAAAAGATGTTATAATATATATATACATGTGTAGAAATCTTGAATTGATCCACCACTGCATTTGCGTGTATGGAAAAAAGATGGTATTGAATAATATTCGAATGAATTCAGTTATGCCCTCAAAGTGTGGGTACGAAATCCGTCAGTTCAAAATATCTAACAAAACCCTCTAATATTCATAGACCTTATATTAACACGGCCCTTTCATGCATCTTACAGATGGATACAGAAGTAAAAGGGATGGGGTGGTGTATATATATAAAACAACAAATCGAAAAGCTTATTTAGTAGAGGGGGGTTGGGGGTTGGGTGGACTTGGAAATTCCCAATGGCTTTTCTTCAGGTACATGTAAGGCTTTCTTCTTATCAACTAACGAGGTACGAGGGGTACGTGCTTCCTATTGGGGACCAAAGCTCACTCTTGGATACGTTGTTACATACGATCAATTCTAAAAAGAGGTAGACTATTGACAAATAAGCCAATGATTCAAGGATATCAAGAACCTTGTTAAAAGTCAACATTTCGCTAATTCTGTAGTCGATGCAATTACTTGATTTGCAACTTCAGTTTATCGTTTAGTGGAATTTTGACTAACGTCTTTCATACGAATTGTTTGTCTGTTTTCCCGATAATGACAATGAGCACATGGCGGGTGAGACCGGTCGTCAGAGTACTCACTTCTCCATAGCACCTGATTCGACCTCTTTTTCAGAGGACCCTGTTTGTTTACAATTTGTATTGTTTGATTGGAACATGATTACTGTTTGTTATATACACATTTTATTTAACATAAATTTGATAATTTTGAAAATCCTAGGGAGTGGGGAGAAGTGCCTTCTATTTTGAACCAAAATGCAGGCTACCACCTTCTTAACAAATGAATTACAACATGTATCTGTTTACTTTAAGATTAACATTGATCTTAAGATTAAAATATATTTGAAAGTTTCAAGACACAGCCATGGTGCAATCTTAAAATAGTTTTCGGTTTTAAGACAGATTTTAGTCATAAAAATAACTGTGTGAAACCGTTTTAAAGTACACATGTAGCCTTTGGTATGATTAATGTTTCCTGATTATGTAATAACATTAATTTAGTATAATATACATGTACCAACAAATACAATGAAAAACAGAAAATACCATTGCCTTATGTTTCTTTTCTTTTATTTATTTATTTATTTTTTTTGTTTAAGATGTCATCACAACTTGTTTTCTTCTACCCGAAAGACAAAACATCACCAAGAGAAGTAACAATTAGAGATAACACTAGTACTTTCCAGTTTGGAGCAAAGGAAACACTTATATATGATAACTCACGTGGTTATTGGAAATGTGAAATTCATGGAGAAAAAGATTACGATTTTTTTATACTTAGTGTCGGTGTAAAATTTCAGAATGAAGAAGAGAAAAGGGTAAAAATACCATTTTCTCTCATATTCAAATGTCCAACAAGACATTATGTAGGTTTTTTTAGGGAAAGTGATTATAGTGACATAGACGCCCACTTTTTCATTGAATCATTAAATGTGATACTTACTGAATATATAGATTCGAGGAATGATATTAGCCTTGAGGACAGGATGACAGTTGTTGAGAGCATAGTAAGATTTTCGGAAGATTCCGAGGGTGAAAGAAAAATAACTAAATCTCAGGTATGTCCAATGATGCTAGAAAATCTAGTGAAACAACTAAACTTTAATGACGACAAACCAGTTGAAGGATTTCTCTTCCTTTATTGTATATGCAAATCAACCATTCAGAAATATAACTTGACACCAAAATATAGCAAATGTATATTACAATGTATAAAAAAAACCAAAAAAGAAAAAAATGGAGAGCAAAATTCACAAATCGTCTTAGATGGACTTCAAAAGCTTTCATCTTTCAAATCTTGTCTCGAAATACTTCAATATGTTTATCCCAATATAATAACAGAACGAGATCTTTTGTCGACATATAATCGAATGAAGAAACACACTACCCACCTTCCTTGTGTGCCTGTGGATTTAGAAGATTTAGGCAATTTAAAAGAATTTTTTGAAAATCTGGCAAAGGAATGCTCGAATGATACAGAAGGAAAAACAACATTTTTCCAGGAACTGATCAATGACTTCTCATCGGAAATGCAACAGCATGCTATCAATTTATCGCCAATGACGCTAAGGAAAGAATTAAATGAGATTTTGCATATGACATGCGTTTCAGTATTTTCAAAATTTAGTCGTGAACATGATAAGTCTGTGATAATCTGGAAAACTTTGAATTTAGAAAATAAAACGAAATGGTCCCTAGAGCTTTGTCAAACATTAAAACGAAGTGTGGCTTCGTCAAAACAACCTTTTAGGTCTAGAGAAATGATGAAATGCATTCTAAGTCTTTGTACTGAGTATGAACTTCTTTTAAAATATGACTCTCAAATATATTTTCTAAAACTTCTTGCTAGATACACTGAGTCGGATTTTATCACAGTTTTTAAATTTCTCAAAGAAAACCAAAAATTGTTATTAAATAAGGCAGAATGTGATAAGATTATAAATGTTTGGTTGGAAAAGTGCCTTAATACAGCTGAGAGTGGTGTGCCAAATCCTAGTGAACTTTTTTCCATGTATAGTGAAATCGGTGAAGCGTTTGCTTTAATTGGGATAAAGGATGACTTCGTTGTCGGTGAAAGAGCCAAAGAACGTATGGAATCTCTTGGAATACCAACGTTATTGAATGAAACAGCAAAGTTTGATGCATTAATGCCCGTTCAAGGAAAAGGTCTGTACTTTTCCCATCTTCTTCAATTCGTTAGAAAGATGGCTCTTGAGGAGCGACTGAGGATTTCTGAAAATGCCTTGAAATACTGGCTTTCAACAGATGAAGAAAGGTAAATTTTTAACTTTGATATTTTACGGTAAAAGACTCATATATGTGCAAAATTCATAAGAAATACAAAACAATATCATATGTTTAATTATGCGGCGATAAGGGTTGAAATCACAATATTATTTTGATGATTATTTTATAATATAGGTAGAAAACAGTAGATTGAGAAACATTGCTTACTTATATTTGTATTTGTGTCTACCGTCTTGAAGTTTTCTTTTTTGTTCAATCAAACAAGTGAATTTTTCTTTAATTACATTATACGGAGTGGCGCAGTGGTTAGAGCGTCTGCTCTAGAGTCGCGAAGTAAGGAGTTGATCCTTACGTCGCGGGTTCGAATCCCACTGTAGGACGTGGAGATCGGTCCTTCGGATGAGACCATTTAAACCGAGGTCTAGTACTGTCGCAGTAGGTGCTGGCACGAAAAAGATCCCTCAGTGCTCAATGGCCGTAAGTGCCGAGTATAGGACAAAATTTGCAGCTCTCCACCGGCAAGTGGTTGCGTCTCCATATGAGTGAAAAATTCTCGAGAGGGACGTTAAACAACATACATACAAACAAACAAAAACATTATATGGATAATATGATTTTTATTTAAAGACTTGATTTTTATTTATAAAAAGGAATAGTTACAATCGAACTCAACTCTAGGAGTTAAAATTTATATTGAGTAAAATATGCCGGTTTTGGAAGATTGAAATCAATTATGGTCAGTTATTAGACCGGTACTTTTTTTTCTAGAGACGACACGCTAACTCTTGCTTGGTATTTAAATGGCACCCCTCCATTTATTAAGTGCTCGGTTCCACGAAACAGGTGCATGTGAGACAAATAAGCATTTACATTTTTTTGTTTCTCTTACTTATTCTAATATAAACTGTCAAAAAAATTAGTATGAAAATAAACATGCATATCGCTTTTCTGGTTCGTAGATTATTTTACTAAGACATTGCTTCATAGATGGTTAAGCAGTTTTGTTTATCGAAGAACAATTCTATGTATAGAAATCACGTCTTCATCAGTTCTTCATTGTCGGTCTAATAGCCAGACCACTAGCTTACACCAGGACCACACTTCCGACATCAAATCTTCATGTGTTATCTCTCTCTCGAGATGAAACAAACACTAGCACATTCATTTCTTAAATCACGTCACTGTACATGTATGCAAAGCAGATCCATTTGACATAATTTCACAGTGTCCGTACACATATCTGGAGATTTACATACATGTACCATATCTTTGTTTTTCATTTAAAAATAGTTTAAGTACGACGTTTACTCAGGGTGTCAGTTGCCTGAAACAAAATGTTATAAAGTACAAGATTTTAATCAAAAATTGTTCTAAATGCACAAAATAATATTGTAATAACTCAATATATCTAGATAAAAATTCGGATTTTTTCCTATTTGAAGAAAATATGTCAGAACAAAAGTAAATTAATGGTGATGCAGAGAACATTTGGACTAAATTCTATTTTTTTTTTTTAAATTTTACAATTTTTTTTCTTGCAATACTGTACATAAAGTTGCATGATTGTATGATTTTTGTGATTTTTAACACCAATTTGCAAGTGTGTTAAATATCAGGTATTATTTCAAATAATTGAATGGCATGCAATGAAGAATTTCAAAAATATGAACAAATATTATTCCAGACAACATATCTCAATCTCAAGAATTTCATCATAGACCTCATATTATTTTAATTCCTGCAGAATAAGGACGAAAGAAGTAAACGGAGGCTGAAGAAAGTTGAGAGTTCTTATCATTCAGATTTTTGTAATATTAGCTAGATAGATGCGCAGTAAATCAATTCGAATTAAACTAATTTGCATTGAATTCTCCGAGTGAATGCAGTTAAAATTTGATTTTGCAGTAACTTACGTTTAATCCGAATTAAGCTCTCCGTGTGTATAGGGCATTCACGCGACACTTAATGCGAAGTACACTTATGCGAATATTAAGATTTTATTTCTACATTAAGGCTATTATGGCGTCACCTGCAAATTACCTCACATTATGCAGAGCAAATTATACATTTGTCAGTTATACTGTCTAGACATTTTTAGTCAAAATTTCCTTTGTTTTTCACTCAAAATAGCATAAGTACCTATATCTGACCTCCGACATGTGGCATGTGGCTTAATTTTGCTATAACGCATCAAAATTTAACTCGAATTAGCTTCGCTTAACGTCCACACAACATTTATCCGAAGTTATTTTTTTCTGTTTTCTAATTACCTGATGCGTGTTGATTTTCCACGTATACGCCATTACGTTTCTTAAATTGCGATCGCAACTTACCCTATTTAAAATTAAAAAAATATTTTCGAAACAAAGTAACCTGACATTCATCTGTTGTTTTTTAAGTAAGCTTGATTTTGTTTATCTACTATATGACTTCAAGGATCTACAAGAATCTACCAAAAATTGGGAGGGGGGAGGGAATCTGGTTTTAGGGAGGGAGTACATGTACATCTTCAAGATCCTCCCCCGCACCCCTCTTTCCAAAAAATGAGAAGTTTAAACATGTTCTTTGTGTCTACTTTTGTGTAGATTTTTTTTTTATTATATCATGCTGAGTAGTTCCCAGAAGCCATTATATAACTGGCTATTACATGTTTTCAATCGATCGATGAAATGCCCCGCCTACTCCGAATATTAATGAGACACAATTAAAACCCAGCTCGGACAAGCGCAACATTCGGAATTAACACCCACTAGTGGGAATTTTTAATTACCTTTAATAAAACTAAAGAGCCGTTTTCAATGTAAATTTTTGCAAGTAATGTACCACATAGATAACAAAATATGGGTTAGGATAATGAAGATTTGAGTTAATTAAATGATGTTAGAAGGGTCCGAAAAAGGGGCCATGGCTATATGCTTAAGTGGTAACATTCTTTTCAAGTTAATACTCCACATCTTCATTTTTTTATGTAAAATTTTGGAAACAGATTTGAAGTTCATATTTTCTAAAATTTTTAATATATCATGACTTAAATGTTGATAGAGCATTTCACGCCGAAATATAAATATGACGTGTTTAGACACTTCTTTTATATGGAGATTATTTAAACTACGAATTTCGGGACGCGTTTAATTAACACATATCCTGGCACTTTGTCCTTAATACCGGTACTTGAGAAAAGTAGAAATTTGCTTGTGGACTAAATTATCAATTAAAAATATTAAACCTATAAACAATAAAATTCGAGTAGATATTTGAGAAAACAGACCCAACACCAGTACTAGTATTGTCAGTCTGTGCTCAGTGATGTGTGCAGAGTAAACAATTTGAACACACTCAGCCGGTAAAACGTTTGTTTGTTTGTTTGTTTGTTTAACGTCCCTTTCAAGAATTTTTCACTTATATTGAGACGCCACCACTTGCCGGTGGAGGGCTGCAAATTTGGACCTATACTCTGCACTCAAGACCATTGAGCAATGAGGGATCTTTTTTGCGTCAGCACCTACCGAAAAAGTGGACCTCGGTTTGTACGGTGATATCCGAAGAACCGGTCTCCACGTCCCACAGCCGGTAAAGAGGAAAGTTACATTAACAATAACAGAGCTCGTTCCCCGCTTACAATTATGTACAAACACTGATGTTTGACGCGATCATGATGTCATGAAGAATGTCTTTGTAATTGAAATTCAAAGAATATTCATTTGAGTTCAATTCATGAAACTGAAGACATTATTTTTAAAAATAAAGGTAGATATTTTAAATGTAATTAATGCAACTGTGTCTAGGCCCTTTTAATATCCCCGAGCACCCAAACTCCTTCACCATTAGCGGATAACACCTCGAAATTATTTTTTGATTTGTTTCTTGTTTGCTACTCTTAGAAATGACCTTTAACATTGTTTTAGTGTTAGTAACAAAATAGACAAGTAAATGGGCTTATATAGCACCTTGAAATAGAACACGTATCACGTCCGTGTACATTATGTCCACTGAACCCTAACTCCGTCACCAGGGCTTCTACAATTAGTCAACCTATTAAAGGCAGAAATTTTAAGCACCGCCTTCAAAAATATCTGGTCTGTGTACCCCTGTCAATCAAGTGCATAAAGGTACATCATTGGATGCTAGTACTTGATTGGCATTTACTTACTAGTCCCTGTGTGTACCCTGTAGACCTTGTTTGGCACTCGTGGTGACCTTCAAATTAACTTTTGATCCTATGATATTTACCACACATGGTATAAACAATAGAGAAGTTGTATTACTATGGAATTTTTAGCTTGATAATATATATTCATACACACCTTTAGTATTTGAAATAATTATGATATTCTTTATGATAAAATATATTAAAATTTGGTATAACATTTTTTTTCAAAGCTCAACAAATAATTTGAATAATAATATTTTTTAATGGGTGGGGATGCTTTGACACACATTCAATAACAAATTAATAAGAAAAAATATTGAGATTAAACTTTATTTATAAATTTTTATTTCTAATCTAAAATCATCTCATAATCCCAACACAGGTAAAGTTTGACTTCTTGGGTACTCTACTGTGTATTAAATCACTTCCTGTGTATAGGGATAAGGAGACAAATGACCACAGGTAGACTGCTAGCCCTCAAGGCATTCACACCTGTACAAAATAAGCCCCTCCCTCACCTTGGAATTTACCACCCGGTAAAAAATCTCTGCCTTTAAAGCCATTTTTCTCCCCAGTTCAGCTTTTGGTCGCTTTTTCTTGAATTTGTATACATGGAAAATAGTTTTAAATATTTTAAATAGTATTGTTTTTTAAGAATAGTATTCATTCAGCACAAAAAATAACATTAATATAATGTATTTTATATACGTTTTGTTTGCTCAAATGGTGTCGTGTAAACGTTATCCCCAACGCGAAGTGCATTAGGGCAAATGTAGAAAAAAATAAAGTAATTTTAGCCGTATTCAACATTTGACATAGATCTTCATAAAAATAGCTGACATGTGAAAATGAACATAATGGTCATGTTGACGTACATATCGGGGATATCGATGGAATAGCGCATGAAGGAAAAATTGCTTACAGATTTTATAAAAAATACGATAGATACAATAAATTAAGTGTAATTGTTATTTGTTTTTCACGGATTCTTGAACTTGACTGTTGTAATATCTCGGCATTCGATTTTAGAATTTCAGCATGCAAAAAGGACTACATAATCGCATTTTTTTTACAAAAAGCGCGGAGTTTCCAAAAAAATGAGTTACGGTAGTGACGGAGTAAGGGTGTTTGTGTAGACATTTGAAATTTACTTTTCCCTATAATATGGTACATTTTTATAAATTGTGTGAAATGGCCTTACTCAATGTTAAGATATGCAGACTTAATAAGTTACATATTTTGACACGATATTGAAATATTTCAATGTAATATAACATTTTCCTATATATGTAGCATTCATAGAGTCTGCCCAGTTGTGGTCGGTCGACCAAATCGTCTGTTTGACTTTAACATTAAAACAATGAATGATTCGTACTAATGATCCCTACGGATTACACGTCAAATACGCCCATATTCTTTAGAACATACTTTGATGTGGGAGTGGGATTTTTCACTCTAGAACGATTCTTCTACGGGAAAACATAAAATTCTAGAGTGGCTAAGGGAATAGTAAGTAAACACTATAAAGAAAATCTTGCAGGGGGAAGTAAGGCTCTAAATCGAGTCTTCCCCCTTGAGTTGACTTCCTCTCTATTGATACTTGGGGGGGGGGGGGGTATGACTCTGAAGGGGAAGTATGGCTCTCGACTTTGACATCTCCTAGGGGGAGGCTTACTTTAGAGCAAGAATTCCGGGGGATGCCTCACTATGGGGGAAGTTTCGCTCTGCAGCCGGTACCATATAGTAGGGTTAACTATATAGTAATCTTCTGAAACTAGCTGGGAAAGGTTAACAATATAGTATTTATTCTGCTTAGTAAGCCTTCTCTCTGACCCATGATCAGTTTAAATTTTACTCGCTGGCTTTATAGCATCCAATCTTGCAAACCTCTTTAAAATACTAATAGCGTTTTAAGTGGGATATCAATAATTATATTTTGGTAATCTGTGAGTTTTTAATCATATTTAAAAAAACATATAATGTGTAAATGTGCGTAAAATAAAACCTGTCTCGTTTTTAGAAATTATTTAAAACAAACAAACTAAAAATAAAAGAAAAAATAAACAAAAGTTGTACCGTAGTACTAAATGGCAATAAATCTTCTGATTACTTCTCTTTCTTACTAAATACATAACTTAGAGAGCAAATTGGAAGGAGGGGAAACAAATAATTAACCAGATTAAGGGGAACGTTTGCTATGTATAAAAATGGCCTGGATGATGTCATTTTCTATTTCTATGCATGAGTGAATCTATACTAAATAGAGAATGACCCCCGGGAGAATAGGTGTCTTCCCACTTAGCCAACATTTTGAAAAAAATACAGGTAAGACACGGGTAAATGTGTGTTGGCTAAGTGGGAATGGGGTGCAGATTGAGAATAAAAGAAATAAAATACAGGTAGGCTATAGTCTGTTTTAAGCTATATGTACATGTATAAGCCGAATAAAATTATTTATTTAATTTGTAGCATGTACATAAGAACGTCATGATGAATGTAATAATTTTGTGCTGAATAGTTTCAGTGCAAGTACAAAAATATTTTTTCTTAAAAATATAATAATAATTGATATATTAAATACAGTGTGATTTAATTAATTATTTTTAATAATTAACGGTTTTATTCTTCTTTATTGCTGTGTTGTATCACAATTTGTTTGTTTGGTTTTTTTTTTATTAATATTCTTTGTCACATTTGTAAAATCTTTGGCGAGAAATGTTTTCAAATATATTTATTATAAAATAAATATTCAAAAATCGATCATTGAATATATTTAAATTATTAATCATTATATCCTTCTTTTTTTAAATATATTATAGCTCAACTTGAAATGTTAAAGTTTAAATGAAAAACACATAATATACTGCAACATAGAATTAAATATTCAAACTGTATATGAATTAAAGAAAAAAATGTACAAACATCAATTCTTTAGTAAATTTATATTTAAAAAAAAAAAAAAAACATTTTCCATGGTAGAGTAAAAATAAAACAAAATGACAGGAATCCCCCCCCCCCCCCCGAAAAAAAAGTTTCATTTTTATAATAAAAAATAATACATAGGCCCTAATAGAATCATATATAATTAAAAAAGACTGGGTTGTGAATATCTAGTATGAAATTTTCTAAGTTGATTTTTTTAAATCAGATAATGAATCAGTTTGTATCAAAAGATTCTGTTACTGTGTTCATTACCACAGTCGAATATTACATACTCAGATAAATATTTTTAATCACAACTGATAAATATATTTTAGAATATTCAAAATTGTTTCTACAATGTAATTTACACTTTTTTGGGGGTATCATTTGAAATACTTTATTTCTTAATTAATTTTCAATATTTCCTTTAATCAATATTCAATTTTTAATTTTAAAAAATGCAGATTTATATTTATTTTTTACTACATTTATATAAATTAATTCTTTTTTCTAGAACTTCATTTTTTTTAAAATTTAAATTCTATTTTTATGTTTTGACTGAAGTTTTCATTTGAATTTATTTTTACACTTTTTTTTTCAAAGGTAGTAATTCTCAGGTAAAGCACATATACCTGAAAACAGACTATAGCCTGTTGATCACTCAGGTTAAAAATCAAAATGTTGGCTATGTGGGAATAGGATTTTTCAAAATGTTGGATAAGTGGGAATAAAGCGGAGAATATTTACTACTGGTATAGTGAACTTGGAGGGGAAATTTACTATGTAGCATTTTTACATCATCTGTTGCTGTGATACCATCCAAAGCACTTCCAGGTATGCGATAAAATCCGATTGAAAGAAAATGATTTGAACTTCTTAATTTGAAATTTTGTTTTCAATTTTCAGAGGATTTCGTACCCAAATGATTCTTGCATTCTTGGACACGACAAATTTTACGAATGAAGATGATCTTGATTCTGTGTCTGAACTTCTTGATTGGTTTGAGTTTTGGGAAAAGATCTTATCTATAGAGGAACTGGATACCACTGTTAAAAAACATAAGAGTTATGAATATGTTAAAAGGTGGTTATCCTCCTTCGAAAAAAGACTAGAATCATGCGATTTTCCAATGGCGTTTTTGACAGAAATTTCGAAACCACAAAAATGTTTAAAGTTGGCGCATTTGTCCAGCATCACGTCCGATGTACTTGCAAAGAGTGTTATCGAACGAAAAATATCATGTGCAAATAAAAGAGCAAAAAGTTTTATGAAAAATATGTCAATCCTGAAAGAAGTCAGTCGTTCATTATGTTGTAATATGAAGGGATGGGCAATTTCGGAAATACTTGAGAAGTGGTTAACAGAAGTAGAAAAGGTAGAGCACGCTGTTTTATCTCGCACTAGAAATGTACAAGATGCAGAGGACGCATTGTTTGAATTTTCTAGAGATGGAAAATGTAGAATAATTGAATGCTGTAAAGAAATATTAGAAATAGCCGATTCTCAAATGTTTTGGAATCTTATAAAATCGAGATCAGTAATGAAAAAGACAGTAGAGGATTTAAAAAACCAAACGCTTGAAAAAGAATATTCACCTAAGCAGATTCTTTCAATTTTGTTACGCACTCTAGTAGAGATTGGTAAAAAAAATTACATAGAGAGATGGCAATCTCTTTTTACTGAAGGTATGAACGATATCACGTTGGATGACATGAATATTAGCTTCGATGGTACAGATTTTGAGCACGAATTTAATATTGCATACAGACTTAAAATCATTCCTGATAACAACCAAGAGAAATTCCAGTCCTGTCTTAATTGGCAAGGTACTGATACTACACAATATTTCAAAGACGTATGCCTTGTAGGAAAACTTTGCAGATGTCTTCAAATTGAGATCATTCCATCAAAAGAATATAACATGTTAAAAAAATATGTGTCAAGTGTCCCTCAACAGAGAAATATACCTCTGAAGACATTCTTTGAAGAAATCCTTGTTCTGAAAAAAATGTTTAGCAATTTCGATGACAAAGTACGAAAATTTATTAAAAATCTAATAGATGCTGAAAATTTGCTTCAGTTTTTGAAACAAGTAGCTCTCGAGGATCTAAGAAATTTGATAGATGCTGTCGAAGATTATACAGAACAACAAATCTCAATTAAGACTATGTCCAATCTTATAGAATTACAACAATTTTTATATCCATTGATTCGGAGAGACGAGAAAGACTCCATCGAATCTTTAATTCAAAAGTTATCACAAGATGGACATGACGTAAATGTAGAAAACATTTATGAATGCATGAGAGATTGCAGTCAAAACTTGAGTGCACTGGAAACACTTTATAGGAACATAGCAAATAGATTACAAAGTACGAGCACAAAAGTTATGGGTATCAACACAAGTGGAACGTTTTCATTTTGCTCCGATACCCATGACAAGGTTCATGTTTCAGTATTTTATGTAGATACACAGAGAAAGACAGTAAATATATCCAAGTCAGAGTTAAAAGATCTCCGAAGTAGAGCTTTGTTGATCACGGGAAAGGAATCCCCGATCCACAAAACAGAGACTTGGATGCTCAAAACAAAACCGGAGGATTTTGAAATATTTATTACGTACGTTGATCAGGCCTTTCAGATCGCAACTTTGTACGAAACCCTTCTGGAAATAGGTCATTTCAAATATGTAGACTTGTGCAAAGTGTGTAAAAAATCGACATTGCTTGAAGGCGAACTTTCGCATCTGCAAAAAGAATTATATGATTGGAATAAAGAGGTGAAATTATACCGAGAGAAGTTTGAAGAGATGCAATATTTAACTCTTGGTCATATTCGCCAACTCCATCATTACTTGAAGGGTAATTTACCTGAGGAATCAGTTGACGCGATAAGCTTTTTTATAAAGCAAGAAGTTCCTATAAAAAAGTTAAAAAGAAAGACTTCATATGACCCAAAACGACCAGGTGATGTTTTGAAAGAAATAAAAGAAATTTTTAACATGACAGAAATTTCATCAGTGTCAACAAAGATAAGGTACGAAAACTTTGAAATGTGCACATCAAGTAAAGGTGCGTTAATCAGGTTGTTGTTTGCGTCATTTGTTGATCAGTCTCCATGTGTGAATACAGTCCTGATGTGTGATGATTGTACTGAATACGACGAAATACGCCTCCTTTTATCACGTTGCAAAAGGTTTAGCAGAAAAGTACATGCTTTGGTTAATGTTGAGTTATTGCGAGAAGACATTCAACATAGGTTAAATAAAAAGTTGCAAAAAATGACTTCAGAAGGAACATTGAATAATTTGCGTATCATCCTTGGCACACAAAAAAATAAATTTTTACTACACTTTAAGCGCCACCATAAGAATAATACACCAGTATCTGTTCCACGTATGCAGGAACATTTGGCAAAAACTATGAAGCACGTCTTTACTGTTACCTCTGATCGCTCAGGGATGGGAAAAACTGAGATAATCAAAGAAAAATGTCACGAGTTAGATATGTATTATAAGTATTTGTCCTTAAATGGACTTGTGAATAGAAACTACTTTGCATTCAAGTTGGCGGAGCTAAATGTTTGCGAGAAGGACTTTTTGCACCTTGATATTGGTACGGTAGAAAATCCAGAACAACTGGATAGTTTGCTTTTTCAGGTAGTGTACTTAAAGTACATTTCGTCTCGAAAATATTCAATATTTATTCCAACAAACCACATTTACATTGAAATCCAAAATACAGTTGGTGAAAATTTACTGAAGTTGATGCCCTTTACGATGACTTTACAAACCATCTACGTAAAATGGGATGGGGTAGATAGATTTCTCTCTTCATCTGAAATCAACAGTCCCGTCCAAGTTGTGTGTCACTATTTACAGTCCTTAGACAAATCAGAATTACACAAAAAAGATTTGTATTTCACGGGATCGAATCCATTAGAACCATTGTCCCAGACTGAGTGTTGGAATATATTAAGAAAATATATCCCTCATCATTGTGATTCTTACACATCGATGACAACATTTATAAAAATTCTGTCAGAACAATTAAAAAAGCTTTCATGTTGCATGTTTTACAGAACTGAAAATTTATATGATATTCGAAGAAAAGATCCTGAGCCAATGCTGTCAATGAAAACAACAATAGTGAAAACGTTTTTGAAAATGGCAACAAAAATTTCAAAGCGATCACTTAGCAAGACGACAACTACTGATACCAAAACAGGAAGATTATGTAAGCAATATGGCGAACCAATGAAATGGGAGGACATTAACCCTATCATTGTTATCTTTAACGCAAGAGAACCCCAAACAATATCAGTCTTGTGCAAAAGTACAGCAGACCTAGAGGAAAATGAAAAAAAATTTCTTGAGGAACAGTTGTTCTTGAGTGGTGGAGATTTACAAGATCTTGATTCTTTAAGCCAGACGCAGATGTTTAATCTTCTAACTAATGTTGTGTCTGAAAGTACTATCGATTGTAACCAGATGCATATAAATGAAGACTATGTCATTACGACAGATAATCTCCTGAAAATGGTTATCATTAATGTAAAAGTAGAATCATTTGTACCAATTATATTAATGGGGGATACTGGCTGCGGGAAAACAACCCTTCTTCAAAATCTTGCGAAGATTAAAGGTGTCGTTTTTCATTCTGTGAATATTCATGCAGGGCTTGATGAAATATTCATTGAAAAAAAAATAAAAGAAATAAATGATGTGGCTTTTCAAAATCCTGGTAAGGAGTTCTGGCTTTTTCTAGATGAAGTAAACACCAATCGGAACATAGGAATCTTTAGCGATATTATAGTTCATGGACATTTCAATGGTATCTTTCTCGCCCCAAATGTGACAGTTGTAGCGGCATGTAACCCATATAAGGTACAAGACCAGGAAGCCACATGTGGACTTCAAAGTGAAGAGGTATCACCTATTTACAATGTGTATCCTCTACCTGAAGCTATGTTGGATTTTGTTTGGGATTTTGGGAATATAACACTTGAAGATGAAGAGAAATATATCAAATTAATGATCAATGATGTCTTTTCAAAGATGAGGTGTAGCAAATATCCACTAAAAACCATTGCTGCAAAAAGTTTGTCAGAATCCCAACAATTCGTCCGAAAATGCATTTCATCGTTTAATGTTAGCTTACGTGAAATAGAGAGGAGTAAGCGACTTTTTTCATGGTTTAAGGACGAATATTTACCCAAAATGGAAGACAAGAAAGAAATTAACGATGATCAGTGTTTGATGTACTGGTTCATGACTTTAGATTTGACTTATTCTTCTCGCTTTTCATCACACAGTGAACGAACAGCTTATTGGAAAACCATCACTAGTTGTGTACGTAAAGATGAGTTGAAAAGCCTAGACTTGGATAACATTGAAAACGATATTTTCCAGGAAAAAGAATTGGTTCTAAGTAACATGGAAATGTCAAGTGCAATAGCTGTTAATAGAACATTAACGGAAAATATATTTGCTCTCTTCGTTTGCGTCTTATCTCGAATACCTGTATGTCTGATTGGGAAACCTGGTTGCAGCAAATCATTGTCAATTCAGCTTTTAAGGAACAACATGCGAGGGAATGAATCAGCATCTGCATTTTTCAAAAAGTTTCCTCAACTTTACTTTGTTTCATATCAGGGTTCTGAATCCTCAACTCCTGAAGGAATTGAAAAAGTATTTGATACCGCAAAACATTACCAAAACGTTAACAGTAACAGAAATGTACAAGTTGTAATTCTTTTTGATGAATTAGGACTGGCTGCGAAATCTCGATTTCAACCCTTAAACGCTTTGCATAGCATTCTTGAAGAAGGTGTAGATACTACAGATAAGTTAACCGTATCTGTAATAGGATTATCTAATTGGGCTATGGATCCTGCAAAAATGAACCGTGTCCTTCATGTCTCTTGTCTTGATCTGACCACAGAGGAAATGTTACAAACAGCGATTGCTATCTATCAAAACGTGCTCGAAAAAAGTGAACTTAACGAAAATGAGAAACAAATCCTGAAAAAAATTGCTACTAAATATGTTGAGTATATAGAACAACCAGATCTGGAAGATTTTCACTGCAGAAGAGACTTTTACAGTTTAATCAAATATATAAGCACAAGGAAAAGAGGACAACCAGATTCCGATATATGGACTCTAATTTCCGACGGTATAAAACGTAACTTTGGTGGATTACAGTGTAAGTCCAGTTTACAGACAGCAGAAGAATTAATCATCCCAAGAAAAGAAATGGTGGGGAAAAAAAATGTGATAGATTTAATTGAAGAAAATCTCTTGGACAAACATAGCAGACATCTAATGTTGATATCAAGAAGCGATGCAGTAATAGAGAAACTCATTCTAATGTTGAAAAAAAAGAAGAGAAAATACACGTGTATTTTTGGAAGTCAATTTGAGGATGACCAGTATGATGATTACAGTTACAGAATACTAAGTAAAATTATTCTTTGCATGGAGCAAGGACACGTCCTTGTTCTGAAAGACTTAGAGATGGTGTATGGAAGTTTATTTGACATGCTAAATCAAAATTATTCATCAATAGGTGAAAGAAAACATTGTAGAATTGCACTTGGTCCGTATAGTAACCCACTTTGCTATGTCCATGAAGCCTTTAAATGTGTTGTGGTGGTAAACAAAGAAATAATTATTCGACAAAATGCTCCGTTGCTTAGCAGATTTGAAAAACAGGCCTTTTCATTTCAGGACAGCCATTGCCCTAAACATGATGAATTGGTGCGCGAATTAAATCAAATGCTTACTGAAATGACAATGATACATCTTTCCGATGAAAGTGTTCTCCATCTACCATTAAAAAAACTTATTCCTATTCACAACAATGATATGGTATATTCATTAGTACAGCATATATATGACAAAAATAGCAATAAAACTCCGGATGCTGCCCAGTGCATGATAGCACTCCTTCCGTTATTTCAACAAGAAGCCATGATTTTACAAAAGAAATCGTCACTTTGGAAAAGTAACCAAGAATTTGCATCATCGCTTCTCGACCGATTCCAAAGGCAACCTACACATGCTGGATTAGTAAGCTTTATCAAAGAAAAGATTAAACAGAGAGAAGTTGTAGAATGCAGTTTACATTCTCCTTTTCTTTTATCATGTTTATCGTCATCCGATTTTGACAAGAGTGCTGGTTATGCAAACGAAGACTACATAGCGTCAGATTTTTTGTCCGACGATTCAGGTGACGAAATGGAAGATTCTTCGAACGATTTTGTAATGATAACAATATTTACAAACACAGACATATTTTATGACATTTCAAAAGAAATAAAACATGCAGTAGTTTTAAAACTGGGGGTAGTGAAATCTGAAAGACAGCTTGATGCCGTGATCAGTGAATTTTGGTACGGAAATGACGAACGGCTGGTTTTGCAATGCGTTGAAAATGAAGATTTCAAACATGTTTTTCTGGCAAAATCTCGAATCGAACACTTTAGGTCAGAATATTTACATGCCACGCTATGTGAGACACGAAAGAAAAAAGTAGTTTGCGTAATCGTTCATTTAACAAGAGGTTCAGAGAATATATCTATATTTTCAACCTTTAACTTTCAATCAGAGTGGGAAATGGCAACAATGGACACCCTGACGACTCCGTTTACAAACATAAGAAACGTTTTTAGTAATTCTGTTTCCAAAATATTAAAGTGTTTATCGCAACCGATAGAAAAAACAATCGAAGAAGAAATGTTATGGGCATTTTCCCGCTTGTCCTATCATTCCATGAGTGCACGAAGAATTCATGATGTTACATGTTTAACCAAAAAAATAATGAAACTTACACATGTCCGAGATGCTATTGTTAAGAAGATAAAGAAATGGTTCAAGAAAAGTGGCCATACAACAGAATGGGCTATAGATGTTGCATGCGATACACATTGTTTAGAAACAATGGGCTCATTCGAAAAGGCTCTATTAAATGATCTGCGGAAGAGAATCCAAAATCCCCTCGTGCAAATTATACACTTGCTAGAAGAAAAAATGGTGACATCTGTTCTATACGATTATGACGAACATACTAGTGATCAAGGTTTACTTCCTATGTGGATAAAAATTTTCCTTTCGGACTCATTCATCAAAATATCAGAGACGAAGGAAAACGTCGGACTGCAGGGTTTACATGTAACTACACCATTTATTCACCTGTACTTTCCATTTGCAAAATGCATTTATGAAGTTCTAGAAGATCAGAGGGATAATTTTTTTAGAGAATTAAATAGAAGAAAGACAAAACACGGATTAGAGGATGATGATAATTTTAGCAATTTACCAGTGCAAGAAAGGAAAAATTTCATTAGGTGGTCTGAAAGCAAAATTAAACATCATGTACAAGACTTTTTACCTTTTATCACAGAATCCCTTCTAAGAATATATACAAACGATTTTGTCGTTTGCTATATTTCAAAAACGATGGAAGAAACAGTTTCAGAATACACTAAAGATTTATTCATCAGGACTATTGAACATAGTTTAGAATATATAGACGACGAAAGTAAAAGCGATGAGGATTTGAAAAGTAAGTTTCTGAACAAAATTGTATGTCTTCAGTTTAAAATGTGGCTAAAGGAAAGTGACATCAAAGGGGTTGTAAATATCCTCAGTGCATTTGAAGAATATGAAGGCGAGGACGGAGGTATACATGATATATTTCCAAATATACGTAAAATGATGAAAGAAAAAAATGAATATGACCAGAAATGTGCAACAGATCCGGATGACAATTTTTTTCGTTGTTTCTTAGAAGTCATATGTCCAAAATTGTTTCCGAGAGAAGAGGATATGCTGGAGAGTACATCATTAAAGAAATGGCAAATCCGTGTAAATACGCTTTTATGTCTTGGATCGAACTTTACAACAATTTCCGATTCACAAATCAAACTACGTTTTCTTCATGACCTAGCTTGTTTGGTATTTATACCCGGAATGGGAGATATTCAGTTGATGAGTGAAATAGTAGTTCTGGTTAAAGAGAAACGTCTCGATAGTTCAGATGTATGTTGCAAAATAATAACAGGTGAATTTTTGCCAGATTTGATTTCTGTGAGAGTCTCGGTATTATCGAGGTATATTCAAAGATGTTTTGCTCTGGACGAAGATAATTTAATCCCAATATCAGAAGTATTACATTTTCTTTATGATAGACAAAATGATTATATTTCTGAAGAAAAACCGACTCTTAAAACTATTATCAATCTTGCACTTTTACAAACGATAAATGAAATGAATGAAAACAGTGAAGCAACGTTTCCTCCAGAGACTTGCCTAGATGCTGTAGATTTATTTGAAAGTCTTCTTAGAGAAAAAAGAATCACGGACCTCGAACTTTTCATTGCCGATGTTCTTGAAAATCAACATTTCTCCGTGATATTGAACAAAGAATTACTTATGAGAAACGCTCAAGACAGTAGTAATCTACATAAAAGTTTATCACAAGCAAGACAAGCTTTGTTAACAGAGAATCACAGGTTTCCTAGAATGGCGAAATTGTACGGAGAATGCTTTTGCCGGTCTTACATACAAACGGTTGTTCAAAGTTTAGGCACTTTATGGTCAAAACGTGATATTTTTCTCAGACAAATTAAATTGATTTTGATTGATTCAAATCGACACGCACGTTTAAGGACTGGACCATTGGAGGTATTTTTCAAAAGATGTTTGCGCAATGGATCACATTCAGTTTCACTGTTTAAAAGATCTAGAGATTTACAAAATCCCAAGATATCTGTTTTGGAAAAGATATCAGATGCAAACAAATTGCAATATTGTTTGGATATATCATTAATTCAATTACTCTCCGAAGATAAATATAAAAGAATGAAAAATTTCCTCTATGGTCGCAAAGTAAACAGATGGGAAAATGCTAATGATAAAATAGTTGGAGCTGTGCTGTATCTATGCACCAATGTTTATATTCCCCAGTTTTATGGAAAGCCCGATACAACTATGGTATCCGCAGTATATGACTGTATCAGTCAAATTGATAAACAATCTGAAATAGAAGTTGTAGTATTAAAAAATTTTGCATTGAAATCAGATTTTCATGTAAAAGAACTCGTACTTTCAGAAAGCAGTGAACATTTCACATTTGTGATTGCCTCATTTGTATCACAACTCCTTATTGTATCAGTTTTCATGTATCCAAGCGATAATATCTTTTTGCGTTCTATAAAAAGCTCTGACGTTTTTTCTCAGAAGATTTTATCAAAATATTTGTGTAGTGTATATGAATACTCGAGTAAAAAACTAAATTATTTGGAAAATCATGGAATAAACAAAGATTTTTTTTTTGATATTCCTGAAGAAAACTGTTTGATAGCTAAATATTCGCGATTATTAGTATTTGGACTTTATCTAGCATGTAGAGCACTTGGAAATGACGAAAGAAATGAAATGGCTGATCGTTTTGGAAAAAAGAACAAAGAATTGGATACATTCTTAGTGGAAGAAATAGAATTACAATGGTCTTCTCTAGCAGATTGCTTAAATGTAACAGAAAACGAATTGTTAAAACTTCAAACATGCATATTAAAAAGGTTTTCAGATCTGAAGAGGATTGACTTAGGAGAAAAGAACTCGGAATGCATTAAAATTATTTCCGACGTTTTTGCAAATCGATATACCCTCATTGACGAGCAAATAAGAACACACACAGCGGAGTTAAGGAAAAGTGAATCATTTGAACACCTGGAAGTCTATCTAGATGAGACCGAATGTGATATGAATACTACAATACTTCGGCGGACTTTAAGTCCCCCGTCAGTAGAATGTTTATTAGGGGAAATAACCATAAAGAGATACGAAGAAAAATATCCCTTTCTCTACCACCTTCTTTCTCGACTACACATTTTGCGACTTTTACAACTACTTCAACCAATTTTGAAATGGCAAAAGGCAATTGGGGTGTTTGGAAAGTATATTTTACGAAAATGTGAATGTAGGACCTTGACAGTGTCAGGATTTATAGACGAAAAATGTTCTAAATCTGATTTCCGTAAAGTAAAATATATCTTTCAGGATTTTATGGAAAATTGGAATGAAATATTTTCTGGAAATAATGTAGACATCCTTCACACAGTGGAACCAAATATAAAACCATTATTAGCAAAACCTGATGAAAAAATCGGCATGTTTATGATCATTGACCAGTCTTCGCAATTATTACTTGTGCTTAAAGCGTTAATAAAAATACAAAACAATTTCCTAGAGGACGTTATCAGTATAGCACGTACATCTAAGTGTTTACCCCTTTCATTTCTTGAAAACCCGAAAACATCCCAATTCCATCATATATCACTTTTTGAACTCCAAGATCGTGATATTTTGCCCCATTCGTTTCCAAAGGACGCTCTGTTATTTTGTCAAAGAAGTGTAAAAGATCCGTCTGTCCGTGTAATATATGATTTTCCGAAAATAGAATCAGAGGTTTCTGTTGAGTATTTGACAAACGCAAAGTTTATCTCCTTTAAGGAGCAAAGCTTGTTGATTCAGTTTAAAGACGATATATCTCAAAACACTATCCTCTTGCTTAAAGCACTATATCAAATGTTCAACCAAACAGGTACTGATAAACAGAGACTCGATAAAATTAGAAAAATGCTTTCAGAAAATGAATTGGACAAAAATAGTAAACTTTTGACCGTTCTAGGCATTGTGGCGGCAATGGAGCCCCATGAAGAAATTAAAAAAAAAAATTGTGTTCCAATGATTGATTATTTTAAAGAATATGAATTCGAATTCGCTCTCACGAATTTTGAGCACGCCATTCCCGCAGATGCGCAATTGGGAGATCTAGTTTTCATCTACGAAACTTTGGAAGAATTTAATGGAGAGAGAGTAATTATATCTTTGGAAGAAGCATATCGAACAAAGTTATCAAACAAAGTAATCCAGGAGTTGAATTTAGTAGATCAGGCAAGAACAAGTTGGGAAAAAATATTAGTTGGCATAAAACTATTTGCTCATAGATTTATATGGAACAATGCATCTTCGTTAAGCACAGAAACAAGATTACAAGACTATATGATAGACGATAGCTTTTGGTCGGTTCGCATTTCAAATGATGAAAAAATTGGACTAACAATGAGAATGCCAGAAAATATTCGGGTTCGCCATATATGCCATTTGTTCAGCATTCTGCAGTCTGAACTAAAGGTGAGAAAAATATATCTCTTTGCAATGTCATATATTATATCGAGGATTTTATCCTTTTTAAATCAACTGATTCAGAAATTGACATCTCATCTGCCTATTTTGACATCAACATTATTTTATTTGACAAAAAAATTTCAAAGTAGGTCAGTACACACTGTGATAAGTCATTCAAAATTTATAAAAAGGATCAAATTTACAGCCAAAGAAATAAAAAGAAAGAAAAAAATAAATGGGAGGGATGTATCCTTTAATACAAGAGTGGCTAAATCATATTTTCTAAAAATAAAATCTAAAAGAAATATTCTTTAAAAAAAAAAAAGAAACATGTCTAAATCACAGATTTGAATCTTCTGCAAATTTTATGTTTTAATGCTAAAATGCTACTATAAATTGCTTTTTATTTTCAAGAATGAAACCACGATTACAAAAGAAATTGTTGAAGAGAGACATAAACTGAGCATTGCGGCAAAAGCAAAGTCAAGGCAACTCAAAAGCAGAAAACGCCTAACAGTTGGAAAATCATAATCTCCACTGAAAATGTTTTCTTTTTATTCGAAAGTTTTCTTAATTTGTACTCGTATGTATTAAAACCTTAGCAAATTTGCAAAATACCTTAATGTTGAGTAATACAGGAGATTGTTAACAAAATTAATTCAAAGTGAAAAAAAAATATATTTATATCACAGGTATTTTGCATGTACTCAAAGAATTTTTAGTCTGAGTTTGATTTTTCCAAACAATGCATTTGTACTAGCAAATATTTTTTTTTTCAATATATTGAAATAACGTTGACGTTGTTAAACTCTTTTATATTATGTAACATTTTTAAATGTTTTCCTATTATGTCACAAATGTTTTGTTTTAATATACACTGAAGAATGCTGAATCGCGGTTAAGGTCAGAAGACACGTTCCTCGAAAATGTACAATTTCCCCACGAATTTGTCATTGAAGTTTTGCTAGTTAAACGTGTTTCCTCACCAAAATTGGGGTTCCTTACCAGGCTTTGGGCAGGATACCAGAGTGGGATATTCCTTATATAATCCTTATGGGTAATCTTTTGAATTGCCAATGTCACAATTTTTAGTGTACTTATCTTTTTAAAAACATATTGAATTCAATTTAGAAATCAAAAGAGAATGGATAATTTTTTATGTAATACCAAGAGAAACGAAACATATGTTTGAGGAACGTGTCGTCTGACCTTAACCCCCGGAAAACGTTATAACATATCTCCATAATCCTCATTTGCTACTCATTATAGATCCAGCTCGAGATTTAATGACATTGGTTGCTAAGCAAACATAAACAAGGTAGCGTAATTCATAACGTCATGGATTATTTGAATAAATTTTAACAATTTAGATTTTTTTAAAATCTAAAAATGCTATATAAGGGTGAATTAAAAAATCATGACCGGCAAAATTTATTTTTTGGTAAAAGTCAACTCACCAGGACAAATTATTCAATTTTAACATCATATAGTATAAACATTTTCCAAAATGACAATAGAATTGACAAGTGCATAAAAAAAAAAAAGCTGCAGAATTTTTATTAATGGAACTTCTTGTGTCAAGAAGAAAATATCACTACATTATAAAAGACTTCTTGTCATAAAATTAAAAAAGAAGAAGTGTGTGGGTTTTTTTTTATCTTTCAGGCTTGTATCAGGGATGTAAATTATTAACCTTCAAACCTTGATTGAGGTTTTTCTCTTGTATTTATGAAAAAAATTGCTTTTTGATTGTTATTGGACATTAATTGTCCTAATTACGCTATCTTGAAAGAAATAAGACGCAATGGTTTCTCCAAAATTGTCTTTTGGTCAATTTAGTCAAATATTCCACCTACCCCCCCCCCCCCCAAAAAAAAAATAAAGAAGTTAGAAAATTTCCTTATAAGAACTGGATTTAAAAGTGATCCTATTTGGCCTTATTTGTTGCACTCCTGACATCTGGTATGTTTTTCTTAAATTAAACATTGTTTCAAAAATTTTACACTCTACATCTCATTAAAATTTGGCATATGCTGTACACTTTATTTATGATCATGTGTGCGTTACTACATGTAGTTTAAGAGCTATTCTCTGTAACCACTTAAACTTCTTTGCCACATATGGTCATCGATTTTGATGAAGCTTTGCCCATTATTACAACTTGACACCAGAAACATATACCAAATAAAATTTGATTGCTATGTGTCTTGGTTGCAATGGTAACAACTGGAAAAGTTTAAAAAATCGAGATTTTCAGCTACTTGGAATCTTTATTTAGCCTTAATAAAGACTAAAAAAACATATGAAGTATTCTCACAAAAACATGGCACCTTGTTGCCACTTATGCTTTAAAGAAACTATTTAGAATAAATCTCTAAGTAAGTGGTAACCATGGATACATTTGGAATTCATTTTAAATGCAGAAAAGTGATCAATATTCACCAAAGATAGGTGTAACATGATCAAACTTGATCAACAACTCAAGAAAACAATAATAATATTTGACCTTAAGCAATTAGGTATTGGCAATATTTTTCTAAAAGCAGCTTTTATGGATGCCATGGTATCACAATGTAGTCAAACAAAATTTGTTGCTAAGTTTTGGTTTATGCTATTATCCTAGGGAAAAAAATTGAAATTTAAGACTTGCAAATGTACATCGTTAGGAACTTGTAACGCAGATAACAGGAAAAATTGAGATTAATTACTTCTTTGCAGTGTAACCATGTGAACAATATACCAGTGGTTTAAAGTGATATTTTTTTGTTGCGTTAGGAATTAAGTTTCTTTTAATTAAGAAACATTTTATTAGAATCACCTTGAATAGTACTTATCTGATAGAACTAGAGTTGAAAATATATCATATATTGGTAAAGTTTGATGAAGAATATAAAACTGTGGCTATGGTTACCAAGAAGGTAAAATGTTCGATTTTGTTCACTTTATAGCAATATTAAACTCCATGTGGTAGCTTCCTGTATCCAGTTATTGTGTGGTAGTCAAAATTGAAAGTAAGGTTAATTGTTCATAAATATATAGAAATGTGCTTTATAAAAAGGTAGGATCATATTAAAGGATACAGAGAGTAAATTTTAAATCCCTTTGCTGTATAAAACCATGACAACGATTGCCAACCAATAAGAAGTATCACATTTCTCGTCCTTGATATGTGTTACAAGGATCTTTATTTATTAATTGGTTAGATTTCAATTTATAATTGCTTTTATTTTTGAGTGTATGGCACAATAAAAATGAATGAATCAAATTATTTCTTTTGAATACTTTGTTTCCATGGTAACGTGTATAACAGTTGATTTCCCAAATACGTTTATCATGCATTTAAGATATCAGGCCTTCAGCTTTTGTAAACAGTCATTGCTTCTTGTTTGTACTGCTGCAAACGTTAACTATGGGACTCTGAACATGGGACTATGATGATATTTCATTATCTGTGTTTTTTTCTGTTTTTTCCTTACATAAGCATTGAACAGAATTACAATATGACCGCTATGCAAATTAGCAAAATGTTCACCATTTCTCTACATGGTATTACTATTCGTTGTTGAATTTTTTTTCTCAATTACGGAAAGTTTTTCATATATTCTTGACTTCAAAATAAGCTTATATGCGTATGTAATATATATATTTTTTCAAAATATATGTTTAGTGATGTTTTCTGTGAATGGACTTAAAATGTACAAAAATGGGTGTTATCTGTTGATACACATAATAAATTCATATGCAATTAGTATCAAGCAACATCGAGTTATGATGAATATTTTCAATATTTATAGTCAAATACTTCATGTTTAAAAAGCATAAATCTTTGATTTGAACAAACTTGAATCTACTTCACCTGAGGATATATTGGTCTAAGTGGGCCATAATGAAAGTCGTATACATGTGTTTAAAAGAAAAATTGTTTGATTTTTTTTTCTTATTGACAAGAGTGCCAAAATTAGTCAGATGAATATGTCAGCATCTTCGCGTACTGCAGAATTAGATTTGTTCAAATCACGGCCATTAAGGTTAAAATAGGGCCGAAATAGGACGTCAGCGATGGATTCTGAATATGTAAAGAAAACAAGAGTCTTTTCATGAAGAACCTTACAAGTGTTGCAATTAGTCAGGTACCTTCATTGTACTGTACACGGAAATCTTTTTATCAACCACAGCAGGGTCACAATTAAACTGGCATCTTCATTTTAATCATGGTCCCGGGGTCTAGAAGAGAATCGCAATTGAGAGTCAACAATTGATATGAAAATATATATTAGTTTTGAAGAAATATTTAAAATGTCTTTTTCGGGAATAGCCGTCAGTAAAATTTAATGTTAGTCATTTTCAAATGCAAAAATCTACAGGTAAAAAAAAATAAAGTTCGTTCTAAAAAGCTAGAGATTCGGAGGGAGTGACAACATTTAAAACTGGAATAAAAGACAAAACATGAAATTAAAAGATTCCTCATGTAGTGTGGATTAAGATATTATTACCCTAAGGGATATGATAGACCTGCAATAGAAATCAAAGGTGATAAAGGAATAGAAGGTTAAAGGAATATATTTAAGAACATTAAGTATACCATTAGTCATCTTGTTGTGTGAGCATTTTCATGAAGTATGAGCTGTGATTCATGGACTAGGGCTTGCCAAAGTAGAGAATCGAAGTTACAAATAGTCATGTGTAGGATAATTAAACTTAAAATAACTGAACCTTCATAGGTCATATTGACATCCAACCATCTCCATGTGATGTAGAATAATCGTTGTAGTCAACAGGGGCTAGAGTAAGGCCACAATAAAAGGTCAAAGTTTGATAAATGAAATAATAGAAAAAATTATATAATTATGATAAGCTTCTTTAAAAGCTGGGTCATAAGTATGACGACGTGGCTGAAAATTGGTAACGTAAAAGGAGAAACTGTTAACTATATTATTTTTCAAAATACTAGGAGCAGGCACCTTCTTTTATAATTTAAGAAAACAAGGCACTTAGAGATCTAATGGCATGCAACTAATTAAATTTCCAACAGGGGAATCTACATCGTTTTTAAAACTGGGAAGAGAAGTGTCTTCCCATATAGCCAAAATTTTTATAAAATTTTTCATGCTAACAAAGACGACTACAATTCTTTAAAAAAAAAAATCAGCTATAATTATGTAAGTATATTAAATTTGTAATTTTATAATATGTTATTTAACTACGTTTGTGATTGCTAAATATAAAAATAATGCACTATAAAGTTTATGGGATGTATGTTCCATAACTGAGCCCATCTACAGGTATCCTTCTGTCTTCAATAATTCAGAATTGAGAAAAGAATTAGATGGATTACAGTATGCACAGGCTCTAGCTGACAAAGCAGGTAACAATAATGTTTTTCTTTGTAAGGCTCATTAATATAAATGTATTTTATCGATATCCAACTTATAGTTCCCTTCTAAGTTCTTCATAATCTTTTTGATATTCATAATTTTTGATATTCCCAACAATCAAATTAGATTTGAATTATCATACATATATACTGGATT